CGGCCGAATCTCGAAGGAGTCGTTGGCGCTGGTGGCTGCAGAGACGCACTGGCGCTGGCTAGGAGTGGCACTGGCAGGGGACGAGGCTGGAGTGGCACTCGGGGTCCCGGGGCTGGGGGGCGGGTGGAGGGAGGGATCCCCCGACTCCACCTTTGGCTTCCACTGTCCCGACCCAGGCGGGGAGCCCGCGAGGCGGTTGGCAGGGCCGGCCCGGGGCTCCGGGACCAAGGGCCCGTTGGAGAGCAGGTGGGCGTCCGCACCGCGATGCAGACCCCGGGGGTGAACGGTGAAGGAGTTGCTGCCGGTCTTCTGGAGGAAGTCGCTGCGGCGGGCCCCGGGCCTCGCCCCTCCACCGCGGGGCCCGGGCGCGACGGGGGGGCTGGGGGCCGCGGGGCGAGCCGGGGCTGTCGCGCGGCGGCGGCGGCGGGGCGGGCGGGGCGGGGGGGCTCGGGCGCGGCGGCGCGCCGCGGGAGGGTCGAACCTCTCCAGCAGGCGGCTGACGCGGCCGGGCGGCGCCCCGTACACCAGCACCTCGGCGGCGCGGATCTGCGCGGCCCCTGGGGCGGGCGGGGAGGGCGGCGCGGGCGGGAAGCCGGGCACCGTCTCGATGATAAGGACGCTGTCGGCGCGGAGGGCGCGCACGCCGGGCACGCGGCGGTACCGCTCCAGCAGCCGCGCCCCCGCCGCGCCCCCGCCCCGCCGCCGCTCGGCCTCCAGCCGCATGAACGGGTTCTCGCGCAGCGGGCCCAGGCTCTCGGCCAGCACCCGCTGCTCGGGCTCCGCCGCCCCGGGCCCCGCGCCCCCGCCCAGCGCGGCCAGTTTGGCCCGCTTCCGCTCCAGGATCTCGCGCTTCCAGGCGGGCACCGCGGCGCGCGGCCCCGAGCCCGGCCGCCCCAGGGCGGCCATGCTTCGAACGCGGCCGCGGACGGCTGGACTGAGAGCCGGAGTGGCCGCCGCCGTCGCGGCAGACCTGGGCGCCGCGGCCACGCCCCCTCCCGGGCCACCGACCATTGGGGGGAAGCCCGCTCTCCCCGCCCCGCGCGGGACGCCCACCTATGACAGGAGAGGAGGGCGGGCCCCTCAGGTGACCCTACCGATTGGACAACATCTCCTCAACCCCGCCTCCCAAGGGACTTCATTGGACAACGCCTATCACCGGAGCCGGCCTCCATTGGGAAGGCCCCTCGGACACACCCAGGCGCCTCGCGCTGCTCACTGGCGGACCCCACTTCCGCCCCTGCGCTCTCGCCTCCCGGCGTCCCTGCGGGGAGCTGGGTGGGCGGCCCCTGGGCCCCGCGCCCCGAGTGACCTTGGCTGAGCTTGGGACTTCCTCACGCTGCCAGCACCGAGGCCGCCTGTTCCATCCGCTGAGGGTGCAGGAAGGGGGCTGCTCCAGGACCGAAGGCACCCGCGCCCGTGGACGGTGCACAGTCCACACTCTGGCCCGGACCCTGCTTTCACCAGGGGTCCTCTGACCTCCGGCAGGTGCCTGCGGGGCTTCGAAATGCCAATTCTGGAGCCCTGAGCAGCCCCAACGAACCAGTTTCTCAGAAATCGCTAGTTTTTATAGGCTGCCCAGGTGGGAGCCTCTTACCCCAACCTTTCCATCCGTGGTCCCCACAAAGCATGTGCAGGAGCAGGCACAAAGGAAGCAGCCTCTCCCGCCACACGCAAGCAGGCTCACCAGGGCAGGGCCCTGTATGCTTGGACAGTTCTCCAATGCATTAAGAGCCAAAAAAAAAAAAAAAAAAGCCAGGGTAACGGTGGGCCCCATAGGGCCGACCCCTGCGTCTGATCACTCCACCCTGCCGCCACGTTAAGGCTACTCCTCTCCCATCGGTTGAACTTCCCCCCATTCAGGCTCCAGATGCCATGACCCTGAGGGCACAGCCTCCAGGCCGGCAAGTCCCTTCTGTCCCAGGGAGGACTTCGGAGCGCTTCCACAGTCTTTCAAGCCTGCAGATAATAGGGAGATCGCTTGGAGCCATGGGGAGAAGGGGAATTGGAGTGCGGACATCACCGTCTTTCCATCACCTGCCCTGCAGTCAGCAGCCCTGCAGTCAGCAGCCTGCTCAGTAGACACTGCTGCTTCCCACACCACTTGCCTTTCAGGGACAGTGCTCCAGGGTCACCTGGGTCTCTGCGAAGACGCAGAACAGGTTTTTTTTTTTTAACTTGGGGATGCCCTCCTCAGCTTCTGTGCCCCATGACAGTCTGCAGCAGCCGCTAGCTTAATGCTGCCTTATTCTCCTGCCACTCCATTAAGCTGGAGAAAATAAAAATTTTTTTTTTCTTTTTTTGAGATGGAGTCTTGCTCTTGTCACCCAGGCTGGAGTGCAGTGGCAGGATCTCGGCTCACTGCAACCTCCACCTCCCGGATTCAAGTGATTCTCCTGCCTTAGCCTCCCAAGTAGCTGGGGTTACAGGCGCCTGCCACGACGCCCAGCTCATTTTTGTATTTGTAGTAGAGCCAGGGTTCCGCCATGTTGGCCAGACTGATCTCGAACTCCTGGCCTCGTGATCCGCCTGCCTTGGCCTCCCAAAGTGCTGGGATTACAGGCGTGAGCCACCGCGCCCGGCCAGAATTTCATTTCAGCCTTCCAGAAGCCAAGTGTCTCCTCCCATAGGGCCCTCCTCAAATCGCCTTTCCAAAGGAAGCATCCAATGTTCATCACTTCTACCCTAATAGGGTTGCCCAATTCTGAACTACCAAAATAAAACAGGGGAACACACAAAACACAAAATCTAGAAATAAATAACATCACGAGGAAACTCACTCCCACTGTTCAGCTTGAATCTGGCTTTGACAAAAGTTATGCCGACCCCAGGCTTGACACATTGTCGTAGCTGTGATATCCCAGCTACTCGGAGGCTGAGGCAGGAGATGCGTGAAACTCAGGGGGCGAGCTTGCGTGAGCGAGATCCCGCGCCCTGCACTCCAGCTGGGTACACGCGCTCTGTTCCCCCAAACAAAGCAACAAACAGCGAGTTGTGAGCAGTGATTTTGTGGGTCTCTTCTATTGCTCTTTGCTTCAGGGCCAGAAGATTCTGTAGTGAGGATGCGGCTGTTTTCGCCGTGTTTCTGTCTTCTGGGTAGTCCAGTAGCAGAACCTTCACTTTGAACGATGTTTATTTCAAGACATTGCCAGGGTGGCGGGGCAAAACTGTCCTGGCAGCACGCCTGAGCTAATATTCTATCGGGGCAGACCGGTGGCTACCTTGTAATCCAGCACTTTTGGGTGCTGCGGCGGGGCGGAACTCACGAGGTCCGCACAGTCTGAACAGCCTGCCAAACACTGGTGAAACCCCGTCTCTACTAAAATCACAACATTACTGGGCTGGTGGCGCATGCTTCAATCCAGCTACTCTGCGAGGCTGAGGCGGAGACATTGCTTGAACTGGAGGGCAGAGTTGCGTCAGCCGAGATAACCTAGCCACTGCCTCCCGCTGGGCAACAGAGCGAGACCCATTCAAAAACATCCTATTGGTGTTACAACGGCTGCTTGCTTCATTCAGCCGGCCAGCGTATATGCAGTGTCCGCCTCTGCCGCCGCGTGTTGCTTAGTTGTGTAAACGTGCGAGGGTTGTGTTCGAGCCAGCTTATCTGGTTTGTTG